GCCGACCACGAGAAGGGTTCGAGGACAGAAGGACTATGATGGGTAGAAACTGATTCCTTTCGTTTTCGTTTCATTCGAGATCGAGCAGCAGTCGCCAACGTTTTAATTTTCACGGATCACTAAACAAAAAATATTTAATCAATTTAAGTATAAAGGTTACCTTAAAAACCCATAAAAATAGTACTTATTCAATGTAATCAGTAAGTTAGCATTGGCGATCCAAATTCTTCACGGATCAAAATTTTCTCGGGGACCACCGCTTGGCGACCGCTGTATTAGAGTACTATGAAAGATAAAATCAATTTCTCCCCCCCCCCCCCCTTTCGTTGCCCCCTAATCTCGAAAAGAAGTCGCGCATGAAAGTTCTCCGCTCCTCCCTCCTCATATTCAAAAGTTTTACTTAGCACCACTAACGGCATGCGTATGTAAAATCTGAGGTCAATTGGTAGCCTGAAATGATTTAACGCCCCCCCCCTCCCCCGTCCCCTTAATATTATATTGGGGCGGAGGTTCTAAATAATCCCGCAAATAATAACCCCACCTCCTTTCTCTGTAAACCTCAGTGCCCTTATGGTGGTCTTTTGGTAATGGCAATGGAACTATGTATCGTGTGTGCCGGGGGGTACTCCATACTACCCCTCGATAACATTTTAACCCCCTCCCCCTTTTTCCCTATAAACCGCACTCCATCCCCACCCCTTTTCTTATCAATTAAATTATCATAACGAATAAATACATTACATCTGCAACAGGGAAACCTTCTACGGGTAAAACAGCCGGCATATCCCACACAAAGCAAAATGCTAAGGAGAAAAATGCACAAATAAATTGTACGATAAAAATGAAGTAATTGGATCAAAAACAAAACACACGAGACGTCATAAATGCACGTGAAAAACATGGTAAATCAACTTAGTACAAAGATACATTAAAAACACATGCATGATCAATTGAGATAAAACAACTCGTAAAATGATAAATTGCGTGACCATAAAAAAACATCAAAATGGCGTGGCTCTACTCCCGCCTCGGTTACCATAAATTAAGACGAAAAGTACATTTTGACAATGCCAATAGTAAGTATTCATGTTAAAGTCATGCACCACAATTTAATAAAACATTACAAACATCTACAGAAAGCCACATTCAAAGACTAAAGATAATGTCCACCATGCCATGTTAAAACATCCCCCATTGGCTGGACAAGAAATACTTCGCAAAGTGCTTACCCAAGAAACAGACTCGAGGCAATCGCAATTCCTACACCTAAACCGGGAGTATTACGAGCTTACGTACAAAGTCATGGCCAATGACAGAGTAATGTGGATACTAAAAACGAAACAATTACTCATCTACCTACTACTTCTCGTAAAACCCGTTTTCGTCGTTATCATTCGACACCGGATCTTCTAGTAAAACTGGAAAGCCATAATTAATAAATTACATGAATAAATTATATATTAGAGGATGCACGATTGTCATAGCGTTTGACTTTGAAAAGGCGTTCGAATATTCTAGACATCCAAAAAGACGCCATCAAGTCCAACGGCGATGAGGAATGAAGGCGCATGTGACGCGATCTCTCCGGGAAATGTGATGTGCTTATTCCGTAGTTATGGTGAATTCTCGAGAATGTTTCGTGAATTTTCTAGAATTCCGTTTTGCAATAGAAGCTAATTGAAGCCGGTTCAATGGAAGTTCCAACATTGATGTCGAAGTGATTATTTAAAGTTCGCGCTCGTGTGTGATAAATTTACATGTTATAAATTTGTGAATCAGTGAGTATGTACGGTTCCAGTCAGAAAACACAGTGTTCGTACCATTAATCAACCGCTCGTCCGAAATTCTGGAGCCTGTTGTACGGTTCCGGTCACAAAACATAGAGGTCATACCAATCGCTCGCTCAAATTTCGTGGCCGTTATATGGCTCCCGTTACAAAATGGGAAGTGCATACCAATGCCGAACGAACCGAAGGCGAGTTCGGCATAGCTTGGGCTTTCCCGTCCCGGCGGCAAACGACGTGCACCAACGGGCAAACCAGTGGCGGAGTAGCTACCGCTGGTGCCCGAGGCGGCCCACCAGAATTGCGCCCTCACACTCCTTCCTTCCTCTTTACACATTCTCCACCAAATTAACAGCTTGGCAGGTACCATGAAAACAGATATGTACAGGGTGTTCCAAAGTGCTTGTTTTCGACTTGGGCGAACGTGGCAACAGCGCAAAAGTCTAAAAATGTAATAAAAAGTTTTTACTCTATTTGCAATGTTGTTTTGCACCAATACATTCCTTATTTATGAGAAAAATACATGTTTGATAAGCAAAAAATTGCGGTAAATAGGGAAACCCATTATTCAGTTTTGAAAATGTCGATTAAACAAAGTAGGCCGTAGAATATTTATCTGATTCATTTCAAATTCTATAAAACTAGAAGTCTGTAATTAATATAAATCTATCTAAAATCTATATCTATCTAAAATTGAAATGAATCAAATAAATTAGTAAATTCTATTAAAATTGTTGAGCATTTTCTGAAATATGAGGTACATACAGGGTGATTCCTATAGTACCTGCCACCGTTTGGGAGCGTGTAGGTGGTGCGTAGGGGAGTATTTTGATATAGGACACTTGGGGTCGAAAATCTAAAATAAGGGTGCCCGAGCCAAATTTACCTTCTGGAATTTCGCGCCTGTAGGTAGGCAACCCAACCGGCCGGCGGTGCACACGGAGCGATCTCAGGCGGCGATGTGTGGCTGACACTTGATCAGAATTTTGTTTAAACCCACGAAATCCCGTCTGCAACGACGCGTATCAAGTGAAAAAACACTATGGCAATAGTATAATAATAGTTGGCTAGATGTAGGAAGTGCATTGAGAACAACGGTGGCCACGTTGAACACTTGTAAACGTTATTGCTTTTGACTGTCGTTTTCCCTCCTTCCCTCCCATGTCGCTTCCTCGCGCTAACCCGCTCTGCATCGCTCCGCGCGAAACGTCGGTCGGTTGGGTTGCCTACATACAGGCGTGAAATTCCAGAAGATAAATTTGGTTCTGGCGCCCTGATTTTAGATTTCCGACCCCAAGTGTCCTATATCAAAATACTCCCCTAGGCACCCCCTATACGCTCCCAAACGGTGGCAGGTACTATAGGAATCACCCTGTATACACTGTGTCCAAAATAAGTATGTCTTTACACGGTGATCTCGGAAACCATAGAATACGAAAATGGTCAAATTAGGGAAAAGTTATGCAATTAAAGAGTAATTATCGTGCTGTAAAGAAAAATACTTTTCTCATTGCCACTTTGAGCTCTCAATAGCAATAACTTTCAATAGAACGTTTCGTTTCGGATAAATAATCATCAACTTTATTTTTCATGGCCCTTGAAAAAGCAGGCACATATTGTATTGGGTAGTATTTTGTATTACGAATACAACGATGTACAGCACACATAAAAACAGAAATTGGTTTTAACAGGATGGTGCACTCGCGCACAACAACACGAAACGGTGTATTAAAAAATCACTCAACGGCGTCTTGTAGAGTTCAAAAAGTGGCAATGAGAAAGTGTTTTCTATTTGTAGGTATCTGTTCAAATACATACCATCATCAGAAAGAAAAAATGAAATCGACAAATTTCGGTTTTCCTGGCATATCTTCGGAAGTAATCGGAATTTTATGGTTTTCTAACTACGGTTTCTGTTTCTGAGATCTCCATGACAAGACATTCTATTTTTGGACACAAGTTTTTATTAACTTAAGCTTCGAGAAGCGCCCCCAGAAGTGGCGGCGCCCGAGCCGGACCGCCACTGGGCCAACAGACTACACCAATCTAATAAAAAAAGGCGATCTTTGCGAAAACGTACATCTATGTAAAATAGTGATTCATTACCATTATTAACGAGCGACAAAAAGCGAGTTTATGATTTTGGACTTTCTGTCCGTCGGTCTTACAGATTTCCACAAAATTTCAAGACTCTTTTGCGTGGAGAGAAAAGGTTAAGAGACATCAATTGTAGATAATTGTCCCCTCTTTATTTTAGAATAAGAGGACTATCTTTTGTGTAAATCGCTTGCTTTGCAAGATATAAGATGAAAACCTCCAAAAACATTGTTTATATTGGTTTTTGATTATTTCTCATCGTTGCGGGAAAAATGTTTGTTGGACAATTCCAGATTCGTCTTCATCACACCAAAAAACATAAAATAAATTACTAAAAACATCACACCAGAACTTTCCACTAGGAGTACTTTTCAAACGATTCCTCTTTCTCGAACGCTTCCAACCCCAACTGACTATTCTAGAATGTTCTCGAACGAACACGTCACATCCGCCTTCGTTCTTTATCACCGATGACTAATCTCTCATGGCACCTCGATGTCTATCGAAATTTCTGGAATGTGTAATTTTTTTTTCTGTGGGATTTTATAATACTAGTGGTACAGTGGACTAAGGGGTACAGTAGACAAAATACCAAAAATACATAGAAAGTCGGCTTGTCTTAGGCCGATTGAAAATTGTATATTTTAGAAAGAATATTTTTTTGGAATTTTGTTTACTGTACTCCTCGATTTAATCAAATTAGCGTAATTTTTCTTATTTGTGCCCGCTCTCCAGGTTATAATTGTTCAGAAATGTTCATTTTTCAGTATATCCGAGTACATGATGAACAAAGAGGTCTTTTTCTATCCAAGATAAATATTTCAACCTTTTACTTTGGTTTAACCTTTACCAATCTTGTATCAGAAGAAGATAATGTGTGAGGTGTGGCTGTTTTACAGAGTATCATGGGGCGAACTCTTATAGGTATAATTGAGTTCGTTTTCCATCAATAGAAATTTTTCACCACTTTACTTTGGTTTAAAATTTGTTTCCTGCTCTTGATACATGGAGTAACAGTCACTGTACATTTTTCTGGTTACCAGAAGAACATAGTGCACGAGGCGGGCTTTTCTAATCACCAAGAGAAACATGATATCTTCTCTTAAACTTTTGCTCATGCTCAATTAAAACAGATCAGTTTTATTTCCTTAACAATTCAAAATAAAATATAATATAAATGTAATGATCGTAGCTAATTACATACTTATACATAGCGTGCGTTTTGGATAATGCCTCACATGCACTTAGAATACTCTTATATTAACATAACGAGAACTTTCATTGAAAATTTTGATATGATTTGTATACGCAGAATATGTACAAAAATAGAAAACCTTATTTGACTACTTCTCAAAATTTGATCAACAGTTTATTTACAAACTACGTAACCTACCTACTTTGAACACCACAAGATTTTTCATTTTGTGCAAATCTACCTAATTCATACTTTACTACGATAAAATAATTTTTCCTTTTTTTCAATTCTCATTTAATCATTGAATATTTGCCGAAAGCGTCTTAAGTCATAAAAATACCGAATAAAAAGAAGAGAATATTTTGTTTTGTTTTTTGTCATTCGCTAATGTGCTTTGAAAGACGACTTTGAGGAACAAGTTTTCTTTATTAATTGAGTTTATTCGTCTAATACGCATGTTCGTACCAAAGCCTCAACGACTGAGTATGGATCACAGTTGGATGCTGGCCGTCTGTCTTCTAGGTAGCCCTTCTTGTCTTCGGCACAACCGCGCGGTATTCTTATGCTGGCCGAACGATTTGCGACACCTAGGAAGAAAAAAATGTTATTGTCTCTCGACCAGTCGATTAAATTGCCCACCTCTCTCCTCCCCACAACACAGCATCATAAAGGTTAACTGTATGTTGATAGGGCGTTGGACAACTCTATCCGGATAGCTGTCCCAATAGTTGTCAGAAGCGGACAAGTATAATTGCGCGTATCTATACAGGGTGTCCATTATGTATGGCATATAGTATATATCTCGGTAAATATTGACTGTATACAACATTTTTTTCCATAAGAAATTAGCATTCCATTGTTTATATTTGAGAAAACAAGTGACTAACGAAAAACAATTGAATTTTTTTAAATAGCAATGCATATACTTTCATTAGGCTCATTTGACAGAGATTTTTTTCTCTTCACTGACGTAACACGTTAGCACCGCTTTTTTTTGCCACTGTCTTGCAGTTAATGGTGACATTTTGAACATTCATTGCAATGAAAACCATTTTTTTGAAAAATTTTCTTGAATAAGGGTCGGTACTAACATGTTATATCATCGAAAAGAGAAAAAAATTTCTATCAAATGAGCCTAATGAAAAGGTGGACTGCCATTTAAAAAAATTCAATTGTTTTTTGAAATAAAAACAACTGAATGCTGCCTTATTATGGGAAATAAAATGTCAAACAACTTTCATATAGAAAAATGTTGTATATATTCGATATTTACTATATTCCATACATAATAGGCACCGTGTATAATTAAAACTGATATCGGCTGGTGTATTACCGGGCTGTGTGTGTGGTGGGGGGAGGGGAGGCTTAACCAATTCCCTATTGGAAAACTCACCTGCACTGAAATCGTGTATCGAGGATGTTTCGTGCCTTCCGGTCAATCTACGTTCGTTATCCTTGCCCCCTTTAGGATCGTAGGCCTGTATGTGTCTGATGTGGTGTCTGCTCAGTTTGTCGATCGCTTTCTCAATTTCGCTGCAATTAACAATTTAAATTAGAACGTGACTTCAATTAACATATATCCTCAATTAAGTACAGTCAAGGTTGGAGACTTACATGATTCCATTATCCTCGCGCATTAATTTCGTCGAAAAGTTCGTGTGAGCGCCGGCTCCGTTCCAATCGCCCTCCATCGGCTTGGGATCCAATGTCGCTATGACGCCGAATTCCTCGGCGACGCGATGCAAAAGAAATCTCGCCATCCAGAGCTGATCGCCGATCTGGATGCCCTCGCAGGGACCGACCTGGAACTCCCACTGGGCCGGCATCACCTCGGCGTTCTCGCCCGAAATGTTAATCCCCGCGTAGAGGCAGGCACGATAGTGGGCTTCTACGATGTCACGGCCGTACACTTTATTAGCGCCGACCCCACAATAATAAGGCCCCTGAGGTCCAGGAAAACCGTGTTTGGGCCAACCCAGCGGTCGCAAGTCCATGTCCAGCAGAGTGTATTCCTGTTCGATTCCAAACCACGGCTTGTGATCGGCCGCCGCCTGCATCACCTTCAAGCAGCTGTGTCTTCGGTTCGATTCGGTCGGTTTCTTGGTGTACTTGTAAGTCTCGCAAAGCACCAGCTTGTTATTCCCACGCCTGAAGGGATCCCTATAGATCGCCACCGGATAAAGGTACACGTCCGAATTCATGCCTTCGGCCTGCTTCGTCGAACTCCCGTCGAAATTCCAAATGGGTAACTCTACAAAATAATCGATAAGTTCGCGAGTATCGCTTTATGAGTTATTCGCAAACCTTCCGGATTCTCCGGGATGAAATCCAAGGTGCGAGTTTTCGCGCGCAAATTCTCCCCGCTGCCGTCGATCCAAATGTACATGGCCTGCACTTTTCCATCGGGAACGGGCAGGTCCAGGAACTTCTTGCTGACGGTTTTGTTGATAGCCGCGTTCGGCGAGTGATCCAACGTCGGATTCGGCATCTCTTTGTACTGCAAAAACATAGGTATATTCACGTGGTCCTGACAAAAAGATTGTTCTTTACTGAGGCTCATATTCAATACTGCCTCTAGGAGACTTGTTGAATTACTGCTGATACTTATCAGGAGCACAGAAATACATTACTGACGTCTTAGTGTCAGTCGAAGACCCTTCCGAATGGTTACTTACTCATACCCCTAACCTCCTAAGGTTGCAGTACCAGGAGAACATAATTTGCCAGTTACGGTCGTATGTCCCTGGTCGTTTTCGTTCTCAATATTGTAAAAAACTGAGTGTGATCTCATTTGGGGAACAGTTTAGTACCGCAGGGGCTGGGGGTATGAAACAACCCCCAAGAAAGGGAGATTGGATGATCCTCTGTCGTTAATTGTGATGATAATTTTCAAGAAAGGGTAATCGATTTCTTCTGTGTGACTGGGAAGAGTATTTCATACCCCCCACCCCCGGTGTTACATACCCCCCACCCCCCCAAACGTTCGGCCCTTAAAACTTTCCCGTATGGAATATTTTCCGGAAAAGGCAGAATTGTTGACATTCGCTACAAAGTAATCAAAACATGCTCTTTACATTTTGGGGAGTAGCTTGGTATCGAGGAGTTTGGGGGGTATTAATACCGATCTTCTTTTGTCCTGGGGGGTTTTCCATATCCCCCAGTGTTACATCCCCCCCCCCTCCAACGTTCACCTCTTAGAATTTTCCTGTATGGAATATCTTCCGTTGTTCACATTACCTGTAAAGTAATGAAAACATGCTGTGATAATTTTAATCGATTTCTCCTGTGTGTTGGGAGGGGGGGGGGGGTATTCCAAACTTCCCAGACTACCCCGGTCTTACATTTCCCCCCAAAACATTTCCCCCCAAGGAAAACTTGTTGACATTTCCTACAAAGTAAACAAATCACGATCTTCACATTTTGGGGGACAGTTTAGTACCGGGGGGTCTGGGTGGTATAGAATACCTACCAGAAAAATAGGGATTCGATGATCCTCTTTCGAAATTTAACAATCATGATAGTTTTCAGGAAAGGGTAATCAATTTCTCCTGTGCGTTATAGCCCCCAGTGTTACATTTCCCTCCCAAAACGTTCAACTCTTACAACTTTCCTATATGGGAATTTTTATATAAGCAAGGAGTCCGAGGGGAGTTTGTTGAGTCTGGAAAGAAGAAGAGATTTGTTTTTGCGCTCCTAATACTATGATTAAACAATGATTCTGAATACTGTTATGCCACTACCGATGAATGCTGAACATTTCGTGAAAAACGTAGCGCCGCGGGGAGGGGGATCCCCAGACAAACAAAACAAAGATTCGACGGCTCTCTTTCGAAGAGTGATAGCGCGTTCCTGAGGGTAGTATGCTAGACAAGAAGTCTGGTAGATAGAATTCCCCCAAGGACAAGAAGAGCGGTAGTTCTTCGTGTCCTAGGAAATCTTCAGATATAGGATATATCCCCCCCCCCTCCCCCTAGGCCGAAAACTATACCGCATACTGTTATACCACTAGCGATGAATGCTTGGAGAGGACTGTAGAACAAATGTTGGCATAATCGTTTACCACTCTCGGAGAAAGGGAAAGAAAAGATCTTTAGGGAGGAGCAGGGCCGTAATATGTCGGTGGCCAAGACAAGGCTTCAATCTCCCCCGGAAAATTAGAAAACTCGTAATTTTGTTCGTTCTGGTTCGAAGGATGATGATCTAGCTGTATTATCCACCACCTATGGATCCGCGATGGTGCTAGGGGTGAGGAACTGAGGATGCAAAGGAGCAATCACGCACTGTTCTGAGAAAACTGAAGACAGGAGAAGAATCTGGGATGGCTTTGGTTTTATCACTTAAAAAGTCAGAAATATCAATTGTTTCCTGTTGCGAAAAACCAGACACCTTGATTTTTTAAATTAAAATAAAGTTGTCATTTTGCTCAAAATTTGGGCGAAAAACCTGCGGTACAATCTAATACAAAAGTTTATTTTAGATCGATGGAAAGCCATACTCAAAACTGAAAACTTTTTTGGGGGCGCTTAACCTAAAACCACTCTAAGGTCAGACCATTTTTCCGGTTTTCGTCGGAATGATCGCGCCTCGATAATTAGTGAAGGTCGCGGCCTTATTTTATATACGGAACGGGATCGATAACCCCCTTTTCTTTCATTTTTTTTAAAAGATGGAACTGGATCGCGAGTCATTAGCCAAAGGTCGAGATATGCGCTTATCGCAATTGTTCTAAATCGGCCAAGTCCTCGACGACGTCGCTCACAACACACGTGCAGGTTGTTTTTCCATTTTCGGAAATTACCGTCCGTAATTGATCACGCAAATCGGAAAACAAAGGCTCCGACTCCGAGGTCGCACTTGCAGTTCACGTGAACAGCTGTATGTTGATCACGTGCGGCGAGTGACTCGTCCAAATTTCCATCAGCTGGAAAAACTTTTCCGACTGCATGTTGTCCAAAACTGGCCAAGCCTTCCCGTGTCTATAAACGGCGCGAAATTTCGCAATCGATTAAAGTGCATCGCTCAGTGGAAAGATCCACTTTGCGTATGACATTTGAGGTTATAGACACTTTTTGGATGTGAAATTTCTGGCAGCCTTGAACTTATCGAGAGAAAACACACGGCTGATGTTGACAAATTCGAAATAGTCTAATTGGGTCACGATTGATTTTTAAGGCGCTGGGAGGACAATGCCTCCTTGACTGCTCGAAATGGGACGACGGCCGGAGGGGGAAAAAAAATTGAAAGTGGTACTTACAGGACTAACTGGGCAGATGCAGGGGGACGATCCTCACAAAAAAATACGCATAATAATTAATGAAACCTCGCATTGGAGAAGTCAACGCACTCTGTTCTAATAAACACAGTATCAGAGCTAGAGAGAATTCGGTTGCGCGTCTGCTTTATACGCACACCCCGACCTCGTGTCGTGGGAGGCACGTGTCCAAAGCGTCGCGACGCCCGCACTTCTAATACTTTCTTGACGTTTAGCGCACCCACCCTGCGTCTACCACGAATAATCGCGACTCAATGCCAAGGCTAGGAATTTCGTTCGCATTGTGTTTCGATTCCTGCTTTCTTTTATCGACATCGCAAACCTTGGACGTGTTTCCGCATTCGTCATATCATCGGGTTTGTAGTGCGATCTAAAATTACGACCGCTTTTGTGCTGGCTGCCAGTTGAAAATTGGAAGTTCACAAAACCTTCCTCATTAAAAAAGCTAAACGACGCTTCGGCGACGCCAAAAACATTTTTGAAATTACAACACCCCACGTGCTCCTTTGTGTTGATATTGGATGCTTTAGTCGGTTTCTTCATCATTTTAGGATTCCGTAATTTCTGGCTCTTTCATCGATTTCAATTATTACGGCTCTTCCGATCTATTCTTTGGCGTAGAGTTCGACTGTTTCGCCTTCTACGGCGTGTTTGATATTACCATTGTATTTATAAACGAAAAATACAATGATTGTTTCACTAACCGTCAGCTGTTCGGGCGCCTTTGATTAATCGATCGGCTTATCGTAGAACTTTCGGGTTTTCGGCATTATATTTGTACTATCGCGTTATTCTTGCATGGGACCGTTTAAAGGCCGATATCTTAGACCATGGTCTAAGGCCGAAATCCATTCCTGAAGTTGATAATTTATTTCCTCGTAATTTGTTAAAATAAGGGAATAGGATTATCACAGTGCGTGTATGAATATCAGTTTTTTTCATTCAATAAAATAGTTGGCTGATCTTATCTAATTCACGAAACTACTTTGTTAACAGGTCAATAGTATGGTCAATTTCATGTAAATTGAGTGATAATCGCTCCGTATCGTCAATTTAATTAGTATACGAGGTATACGAATTATTTCATGGTAATGATAACTACTTTTCGTTTACTGGGGAATATTTTATACCCCCCGGTACTTCATTCTCACCCAAAAATGTTTAGGGTAGGCACTCACGTGAAAATTTTAGAAACAAAAAACAATCAAACTTAGCACCACGATCCTGTGGAGCATGGCCAACTTGTCAAGAAATTAAAGGTCCAATGGTCCCTTCTGAAAGTATCACGAGAGTCTTGAGGGCTCAGAGTTTTAAGTAAAATTGTAACACCGGGGGGTCTGGGGAGTATGGGGGTATGGAATACCCCCCAGTAAACGAAAAATTGCCATAATTTCAAACAGTTCCAAGATTGGGCTACTAGTTCAAAAGTTACAGCCCTTTGAATTTTTTTTCGAAATTGGTTTCTAGTCTATAACTTTTGATTGAGAAGTCTGATCGAAAAAGTACGAATTGTTTTGGATTCTACGCACCAAAATTAATAAGAAAAAGTTTTTTCCCGAGAAATTTTGGTGCAGTCGATTTTTGGTAAAAAAGGAAGGTTATACACTGCCTTTTTTTGAGCCCCGAAAAAAAATTGTCTCAGATCGACCCGGAAAAAAAAATTTCTTATAGAATGTGGCCTGTAGAATCCATAATTTCAAACAGTTCCAAGATTGGGCTACTATTTCAAAAGTTACAGCCCTTTGAATTTTCTTTCGAAATTGGTTTCTAGTCTATAACTTTTGATTGAGAAGTCTGATCGAAAAAGTACGAATTGATTTGGATTCTACGTGCCCAAATTAATAAGAAAAAGTGTTTTCCTGAGAAATTTTGGTGTAGTTGAATTTTGGTAAAAAAGGAAGGTTATAATATGTACATATTTCAGAACAATGATCATTAAAAAAAAATTTTTTTAATTACTATCAAATCCAATTTATATTCAGAATTTAAACTAAATAACCTATACGCAGGGGCGGACTGGGTACTTACGGGCCATTAAAGTATTAGTGTAGTAATGAAGGGGGGAGGGGGAGGGTTAGCTCTGAGGTGCACCACAAAAACATTTTAAAGTACTCCTTTCTCGAAAATCATTTACCATACAGTTTTTTTAAAAATTGCAGCTAATAATTAAAAGTAACAAAATATACAATCCACATGAGGTGCGTCGCCTATCATTGTATTTCAGCACTTTCAAAATACTTCAATTAAAACAGATTTTTTTAACAACCTAACATCAACCCCAATTAGAGAAACGTGTTAATAATTTATTAATAGTGCAAGAAACTAAATACAGCACATACTTATAAATTTCCATCGGGCCATTATGATCTACAGGCTAGGTGGCAATCGCCACCCGCCTCCCCCCGTGCCAGTCCGCCCCTGTCAAGGAAAAATGGGAAAAAAAAGAGAATCAAATGTAAAACAAGGTCCCGACATTGCTGTTATTGCTGTTAATGTAACTATTCGTTGCATTACTCATAGAAACATTTCATGGTAGTTTTACTTCTGAAAAAGTTCCGGATAGCCATTCGGGGGATTTTTGATCAAGGCGTTGAATGACAGACTCTGTAAAACCTTGATTGATGTTATAGATAATAAAATACAGCAAAAAATTAACTTTTTTTACAAGCTTTTTGCACTAACCATGTTGCTTAATCATTAGTTGAAGATCTAACAATAAGTACTAACACACAACAACTTAATCGGGACAGTGAAGTTCGTAACAACTCGATTTCAGACTGTAATTGTTTTCAATTTGGCCTCTGGGAGTATCTCAGATCAAGTATCACACTATTTTTATAAACAGAAGAGAGCATCCCCTCGAGGAGTGCCACTCGATGCCGAAGTGCTATGAACGGACATGCCCTCTGAGGTGGCTGCTCTATAGAATCCTCCCTTTCTGTTTTGCGCTTCCAAAAAAACCTGAATAAAGACCCCCATTACTACCCTGTTGGTCTCGAAAGTGTGAATGGTTGTTGTAATTAGACCTAAGTTATAGAGCAATTGTCTCTTGGCCTACAACCAAATATGTAACCTTAGATCATACTATATGATCTAAGCATGTAACCTTTGGGACCATTTGCAAAGACAAGCATGCATGCGAGCACGATACAGACCACCCCACCGCCGTTATGGAAGTTGCTTTTTCTTGACCTCTGTGTGCAGGATCAGGGCCTAAGGGCAACCTTACGATTGCGAACAAGGAGATGGTTGAACAACACAGAACGCAAAGTAGAATACTCTCGAATTCTAGTTGAGGCAGTCGCATGACCGCCCATGTTGGAAGACAGAGAGGGCTCTCTTGTGCCCCAATTTGTTATAGGGGAGAACTACCACATACGATCATTCACAAGTATTATTGCATGTTTCCAAGCACATGGAAAAGTATTTTAAATAAGGAATTCATTAGGTAATTATGTGAGTGATAATATCAGTTAAGTAAATAGAGGATATCTACCCAACTGTGACATACGAAGACTTATTGAAAGCACTTCATTCCTTGAGCTTCATTCATTTTGACATAAAAATACTTAAGATTAAAGCTTATCTGCTACTGAGAAAAAGGTAATAAGTAGGTACCTATCTAACATGTTTCACTCCTCCAACACTAATTATTTATCCGACTACATGGACGCCAGAGGAAATTTAAGATTTCGGATTTTAAGAATGGATGGAGTTAGGATGCTGAAGAAAGAAATTACTGCTCCTTTCCTAAGTAGATTTGAGCATTATGTAAAACAGTCGCCAGCAAGATTCGCAAAGCCCACAATCTCTCGAATTGCAGTTGCAAACATTTCTACAAAGCCTTATTGGTATTCGTTATACTATAATTATACTATAATGTGTATACAGAGGATTAGATTTTATAGTTCCAACAGAATCAAAGCCTTTTTATGTAATCTCAATCTGTTTGTGCTAGGAAAAGGAGATTAAAATGTTTAAATATATTTTAACGTTTCAGTGGTTAACTATAATAATTAATGGTTGGGAGGGTACAAGCGACTGACGCCTTCTGTCACCTTTAATTCCATAGGAATTTAACCACCCCATTACACTATATACCTATTGCTTATTAAAGTAGTTTCAAGAATTGAAGTGATGCTTAATTGATATTTTCTGTTGGCAGATCCACATCCCCAAGGAATGTATTCTCTACTGTTTCGCTGGCTGTCTGCAGATACCTTTGAATATAGACTACTACCTACTATTTTATAAGCAAAGGCAGAGACGACAGTTGTATCAATCTTGTGAAGATGGTATTTTAGAGGAAGATGTGCGATTATGGTTGTTAGATCTTGCTAAGCGATAATATCTCCCTAATCTTGGGCTGCAAGGCCTTTACGAATCGTTTAGTCTGCCACCGTTTTGGTTTGCATAGTCTATATAGTGTAATTTCGTATGCTCCCAGGGTTCTATGACTTATTTCATTTTATTTTTTTATAACTTCATTTGACCTCCTCATTGTAACTTTTGCTTCTCTACAAGCCGTACTGTGACATATCTAGATACTTGTAGCTAGATACAGTAACTATATAGATACTTTTGAAGCGTTTAGTTATATCTCTAGATGCCTTTCACAAAATGTAACGATATCTGTAACTATAGATACATTTTTCATTGTATCTGAGCTGACTTACATACTTTTTGTTTGTTTTGTAATATTGCTTGTCAAATTACAATTATCGAGTTACATGAAAGTAAGTGAATATCTGCCCATAATGTTGATGTATAGAAATGAAAGAGTCTCCATTTCTATACTTCGAATTGTAATAGATAATTTCCCACATAATAGCAATTCCAAAAACAAATCGACATGAAATTGAAATGAATTATTGTTAAAGTATATAATTTTTCAAGATTTCTAGGGGTTTAAGTTTAAAGATTAGTTCTTCGAGAAACATGCCCAGAGGATTTTTATACTTGGAATCTGAGTGATCTACCTACACTGTACTGAAACTTCTGAAAAAACACATACAATCCAAAAAAGCACAAAGAAATTGTACTCACTTCAGGACGTACGTAAATTTATTTATTGATCTGATGATCAACAATAAACTTAATAAACGTTCGTTCGGAAAGCAATAAGGTTTGATGGTATACATCCCGAAATTTTTTAATATAGGTATTGGAAAAGGTGCGGTGGTAGCGTAGAAATTCTAAATTCCGGTCAAATATCGAATTATTTAAGCGTCATATATGCAAACTAGTATAGAGACTTCTATAGTAAATAATTACTTGGAGAATTGCTGAACAAGCTTGCTGTAAGAAAAATAGAATTCATATACGAGTATAGTAAATTTATATACAGCAAGTCCTTGTGGAAAATTATATAATACACGATTTCGAGTCTTTGTTGGTGAGAGGAGTAGGAAAATGAAATATGGTCTTCCCAGGAGTCAGTAGTGTTCGATCCATTATTTTTAATGCATGGGAAAGTGATTTTATACCAATATAATCGCGAAATTTGTGCAGGCGAGCAGGTGATATAGCGTACATTTTTATTTCTCGACCTGTTTCCTCAAGAAATAGATCTAGGTAGATGTTAACACTGGGAATTCAAATCACAGCACACAGCAGCTCTTTTTAACTTTTAGGTTCATGGATTAATTTCACATCAAAAGTGTGTATATACATTAAAGAATTACGCACCATCAAAGTCTACATAAAATAAAATGGTTTTTCCGAAGAATTAATTATAGCCTTAATTATAAAAGGCATAAAATGTCATCACGTTAGTGTATTTCCCAATTATCCTTTATAGAACAAGTGGTTTAGTTATTTGATACTTGATACTTTGACATATGCCTGGCGTCGCCGCCTCTGTCAGGATTTAAGTCAACTGTCGTGGTGAAACGCTCCTGGTAGGCACTATCACTTATAGGCAGGTATTTCGATGTTCTTGATTTTAAATGGGAGTGGTTTTCCGTTAAGCATTTTGTTAACTACACTGTTGAAGCTCATGGTGTAATCGTCTAGTACATTTTTATGATTCGTTATTATTTCTAGTCCTAGTACGTAATGGTCAATAATTTCTAATTTTTCACTATCGCATTTTGTTTGCTTGGGAAAGTAGGATTCGCGATTCTTGGTGCAGTTGAGTACGTTATTTGGGTCATTTCAGGTATATCGCTACATTGGAGCGTTCCATGGATTGTGTTGGTTGTGCTAAAACGATTGTACGGTGGTTTCACTATAATCAGAAATTCGGACGAGTTCTCTTCACAGGAATTTTCCGATTTTTCATTGATTAGCCTGTGGAGATGCCTGAGTGATATTAAAACAGCTAACTATATAATTCGGATAATCTATTTTCACATAAATTTGTCGTTTTCCTTATCCGTAAATATGAGGAGAAAGGAAATTTGTTTCTCCTTTGATTTTTTTAAATAGATGCTACGACAATTATACATTCGTATTATCGCGCTTCAAAGAAATTTGAAGTTTTTCTTCGTGCTTCCTAGCTTTATTCCTGGTAAATCTTTGGCCCAGACGCGTTAAGTAATTTTTTAAAACAGTAACCAAACAATTATTTCGAAGAAGTTCTGATGCAATAATGCTATTTTACGTAGGCAATTGTTTGGGGAAGTGCTGGATCCCCTAAAAATCGAGAATGGCCTTAATAAACTGGTAAATTCCGGTTATTGATTTAAGAATTAATATTTAAGGTAGTTGAATATTTTAAGACGTAATTCGCATCGACTAGGTATAAGACTGAATTATTCTCAAACTTTATGTCGCAGAAAGCGTTTTTAAATAAATAACTTCTGTAAACGGAAACGACATTTTTGTCGCCATTGGCGTTGCGTCGGCATGCTTCTTAATTAGAGAGTTTAAATGCATTCAAAGAGCCATTGGGAAATGGAGGTATTATTGATGTAATGATGTTCTTCGCATTGCCTTTAATTTGACTGCAAACCCTCATTAATTTATGCATATTGAATCTGGATTAATTAATGAAATGTGGCGATGGTATGACATTTTTTTACTCAAAAAACAACTATTGACCTATTAGCTACGTCAAGTCTACAAAACATGTCAATATTTAAAAAATAGAATCGATAGTTGAAAAGGGTTTGTGGTTTGGGTGGGGCAGTTATTCACCCCTTTCGAGACAGGCGCGATTTGAACTACGGTAACGCGCAGCCGGCGTCGCGACGCTGAACAACGTGTAGTATGACTCGAGTAATAATTCGGAACGTTGGCTTGTGCGGTAAACGCGCGGGAAGACGTCGAAAAATCCATCACATATCATTTTTTTGGTGATGCCTTTCTAGGTAGATGTTCATGGTAATTTCAGTGCCTCCTAACAGTATTCATGTTGTGGTCTAGTGCATCAAACAAGTGCTGTGTTCTTGTGATGTGCAGAGGTACGTGACATCACAATTACGATGTAGATCGTAGTTTGTAATAAATAAGTAAGTTCGTTAAGATTATCCATGGTGTACGTCTTTCCTTAAAATAATTCATCTAATACACCTCGCCAAGGAAATGCAATTCCACTCTATGCATTATTTATACTCATCTAGCTTCGTGATATATCACTGCATTATATTTAGACAGCACATTCTTGTAGGTAAGGGACCATCAGCTGAAACATGTGCTTTAAATTTACTTCGTAATTCAAAATGTTTTACCTCTACAATTTTCGAGCTTCTCTTTCAATGATTATGTAGATCTTGAGCTTAAAACATATAATGGTAGGAGTCTAATGCACCTACCAAAGTAAAAATTCATTCATGGATTGAGAATTGAAATAATTCCTATAGTAAATCCAAAGTGTACGTGCTTTAACTGTATCCAAATCCAATGGGGCACTTTGTGAAAGCTGATTGAAAATCAATTTCATAGTCTCTCAGCTTTAGCAGTAATAGATAGTAATAATACCGTGAGAATACATAGCTTTTTATACGCGTTTGACAAGTTCATAACTAACTCAATAACGTATTATAGTAAACGTGTTATATTTATAAAGATATAATGGTTATTTATGTTGCTATAGTTCTAAGATTAGCACATCCTTGAAAAAAGTATAGAACGTTGCTTATGAAAATCGATAAAATAAAACTTTATTTTCCGTTAACACGTGCACCAATTTTCTATATCTAACCTTTCAGAAGTCAATTACAGTCTATTTTAATACTAACTTCCTAAAATGTGACGTTATAAGAACCAACTAGCGGCCTAAAAGCACGTGATTTCATATGTTACGATTTTTTAGTTGTCTCTTACGAAAATCATTCTAATTTATTGGAACTCCGTTAACTAATGCATGTAATTATCATAAAATGATGAGGTTTCTACTTAAAATTAATTGAAAAATACAATTTTTGGCACAGTTAATTACTTATGACTAACATAGGTCACCCTCCTTTCGAAGGAGTGTTGTATGCCTCATATCACGCAAGTACTTTATTATTATTGAATTGTATTTTGGTACATCATATTACCAGGGGAAGCGTGTACGACTTTTCTTCTTTAATTTGAATTTAGCCTGAAAAGAAAAACGAGGAAAACGTTTTTGACAGCAATTGAGAGGCTATAGTATAATTTTGTAGTTCACACGCATGTTTCACAATATTGTATTGCATATTTTAGCATAATAATGTGTTTGTTTTTTTAATTGAAATTAGCTCTTTGTTCCACTACTTATGTGAAGTCGTTAATCTCAGTGTATTTAAATATGCTATACGCACTTCCTGAACCGTTTCCCTATACTGTACCATATCTACTAACATTGCCATTAGTACGGGAGTCCTATAGGCTATCAATGATTAAAAACATTTTTCTTTTCCAACAAAAAGTTTAGGAGTTCAACGTGTGCCTTATTGTGATAAGAATTTAAAAAAAAATTAAAATAGGAATGGACATATTCAAAAAACTTAAATAAAGCTGTCTCGTCGTGTGTACGGCTAGCTAACACCTCCTTGGCCATCTGGATTTTATTGGTATTCAGAAAAAGAAGCCCCTTGTTAACTAATTTTGCATGAGAAACAACGGGCGGCCTTCATGGACCAAAACTACATTTACAATTTTTGCAAACAAAACGTAAGTTTAGGTTCGTTATATTCATATTCACAAATTCTCAGATCGAAATCAAAATTATTTTCAGCCCTCGTAAGGTTTCCCTATGCCAAAATTCTAAGCTATATTTCTAAATTTTGTAAATCTGTAAATCAACAACCAATGATGAGCAGTCAATAGAAGTTGCTAGCAGTCATCGGCGGCAATTGGCAATTGAAATTGGTGAATTATTAGCAGTTATTTTTAGATATCGGAATAATACGTTTGTTGGCCGATTCTTTTAGAGGATTTACCCTTACTGTACTGACTACGCAAAGGATGTGGTTTCAACACGACGGTGTTCCAGAGTATTCATTAAAAATCATTAGGGCAACCTTAAATAGAAGATTAACAAATATAGTCAGGTCATCAAGATGAGACTTCGTTCGCTTTTGGAACTGTGGGACCTTTGAATAATTGGCTGTAATGCGGAAGACGGCTTCTGGCTTCTTTGAAATAGGAGATAATAGACTAACTGGCAGCACACCAAATTCTTCGCGAGCCTCTTATAAAAATATGAATATTTGCTAATATCCTCAGCTTGTGTTGCCATATCGCATCCATTCATTCAACCCCACATCACATATCATTCATTGTTCACAAAATGAATAGGATTCAGTGAAAGAGCAGTCATGAATATCACTGAACTCGTCCCTTAGGCAATTATTTAATTTTGCACATACATATGAATTTTAATATTGCCTAATAACGTTTGGTTAATTGCTAAATAATTTAAATTTTCACGATTTTTAACAACAGTGGTAATTTTTTACCACGTAAGAATATGAAGGTACGCGTAATTTCATGCAATGTCAGGAGGATTTTATTTCATTACATTTTTTTCTTATTCCCTTTATTCCCACATTAACATTGTTGAACATGGAACACTACCTAGACTAAAGCGTCGGTTTAGTTAATAAAATGAAATGTTGCAAACGCCTTCCTTTCTCCGGTTTGCTGCCATCCGGGTATTTTCACCTATACCGGGGACACACGGTCATAACAATAAGTCGAATTATATACACAACTACTAGGCGAGGATTGCACGGGAATAAAATGCAATTTGCCCATTTACAACTAATGGAATCCCTCGGGGATTCCTTTAGGAATTAAAGTAATCCGACGATAGTACAATGCATTGAACTAGGAGCGCTAACATCTTCATTACTTCTATTTTTCCTTGAAATAGTAGGTATAGAGTTGGCGTTCTGATGTATATTTAATAATTTGAAAGACGGCATGAACGAGGAAAAATTTCGCTACATTTTAATAAATTCCGATTTCCAATCATTTTTTATGCGTGAAATTGGAAAGGAACTTGCATATTTCACTATATAATATAATACTTTAACATGAATAGCTGACAAAAATTCATTTGGGATTTGTTGCACAAATGTTATGGTCTAATTGGTTTTGAATCAACCACTTTATACCTTCGCCATTGTTGGCTATAAGGCTCAGGGATTTAGTGACTTAAGTATAATCTCAAGTTAATTACGCGGATTATGTATCCTACTCCTAAAAATTGGATGTATCTTATCCTCTTTATTCTGATTACTGACTTCAAGATTAACAGATCTACAAGGCAGTTATGGCATAATCTGGAAATAAATTTTTACAGACAGGTCGAAAATGGTGGAGGGATGAGGCTACGCATATACTTAACAAGTGTATAAGTATGATATGTGGGCTACTATACTTTTTATCTAAAAGGTTGTTGAGTTTTTTAAATACCCTATTAGGTAATTTGGTAAGGGACTTCTTTGAGCATGTATATTTTCTAATAAATAAGTAGTACTGGTGTAACTCTTCTAATGATACAGATATCTTCGTAAGTGGAAGTATAAATAATCATGCGAAAAAACAAATAATTGCGATATCAAAGGTGTGAAGATTGTATCTTCTTAGGCATATTTGGTTCTAATAGGTGAAAAGTTGCTTTGATGGACATTTTCTAAGATTCCATTACACCGAAGCTCAATAGTTTTGTAGTAACTTCTAATAGCCGGAAGCCCTTGTAAAGCTTGATACGCTACTAATGTACGTAACTAGCGATTGGAAATGAAACTGTCATGAGAATGTTTAATTTCAATATCGATCGACTTTAATAAATAGTGCAGATGTAGCGATTTCTGGGAATATGAATGAAAGGGGTGCATTAATCCAATGCTAAAACAAAGTGTAACCATGGCAACGATTTCAGTTCTTGTAAACCTTAAACATCCGGCACCGGCAGAACTAAATTGCTTCACAATTTAAGTGCTCAATCTCGTATCAGTATAAAGGGCAGAATTTCCGTTGCTCTCGAGTGTGGTAGGTAACATTCTCGGCAAGGCTAAGGCGAAGTTTATTTAATTAAGAAGTGCAACCTGAAACGTGTATCACGCAGTACAAGTACTTTGATTTACAACGGAAATACAATGATTTTGTGTAATATGTAGGGTGACGAAAAGAAGAGATTTGTTAAAACCCAATTTTGATCTTTTTTTTATAATAGGTAAATACTCTAAGTGAATTTTCCTAAAACAGCGCGGCCATAACACTAGTCTATTGGCATTTTTTAGGCTTATACTGTAGATGTTTTTCACATATTCGAGTTTTTCTGAATACGAATACACCCGCAGTTAGCAACAAACCCTTGCATTTTTGTGATTTCAGCATTTTATAAAGTGAGAAAATTTTAGTTGATGTACATACATATCCACTTTTAAGTCGGAATTAGTACTTATAACAATAATCACCATAATATAGTCATTGAATCAAAAATTGACTATATAGTCTTTATTATACACATTAACAATAAAATGATGGGGGCCGTAAAGGTCTGATTACAACTACCCCCGGGGCACATTTATCGAAGCGAATTTATGAAACGAATTAAACAAATTTTCTTGGGGCTTCGGAAACTAATTTTCTCTGAGAGATAACTCACCAGGAGGCAATGGTTCTCATCACGCTCTGCATGTTCGCGGGGACTATTTTTCAAAGACCAACTTTATCGGTGTCGAATTCCCCTTAAGGAAAAATTTTCTTAATGGGGAATGCGTTTTATTATGAGTATACCCTATTGAGCGAGTATTTTAAATCGAATTATCCTTTTCCAATATTCTAGGGCATTTTTCTGATTAAAACTGTTTCGGGGGCGAAGCAAATGTTCCTTTAAATAATTTGCACCTGGAACAAGTTTTAGTATGAGCATATCGTTTTAGTAAGAGAATTTTTCGGTTTAAATTTTATTCGGTTTATTTTTTTATTACAACGATTTAGAGATCCCTACTACTCGGGGATAAAATACTATTCCATATTTCTGGGGCGGGCCTTCTTGGGGGCTAAGTTTTGTTACCTAAGAGTAGGT